TACAGGAAGCCCGAGGCAGAGTTGCTCTGCCCCGGGCTTCCTGGAATCAGCTGCTGATCAGTTTCAGCAGCAGCTGACTTGGGGGCGCTTGGGGTTCTTAAGTTGATTCTGTATGTAAGTCGGAACTGGCGGTCAGTTTAAGCAGCGGCTGAATCTGGACGCCAGTTCTGACTTACATACAGATTCAACTTAAGAACAAACCTACAGTCCCTATCTTGTACGTAACCCGGGGACTGCCTGTATAGCAAAAACATTATGAAACACTGCACTCTGTGGGTGGGTGGAGGGGGGGCTTTCAGATTCCCCAGTTCAGAATAAAAGAACCTGGAATATCCAGAGCAATTTTTGAATTGTCAGTACATTATATTTTTAACAGTGACCCCTTTTATTTTATTTTTCTGCACTCTTTATTGGATTAATGAAGTTCTATTTGACTCCTTTATTTAATACTTTAACACCTAAAAAAGAAGTTATTTGTAAAGCTATTGTTTGCTTTTAATATATGTAATTGTCCTGATTCTTTACTATAATGACAGTAACTAAAATATATATATATTCTGTTAACATTAGACTGTTTCTTTGAGAAAGGCAGGAAGTCTTTCTCCAAAAGATTTCATTTTGGTACTTTATTCTCCTTATGTAGAAAGTATTCATAGCTGACATGAGTTTCTATCTGTTGAAAAGTCCTTGCACAAAACTTAATAGTAACAATACCAATAGGTTTAGGCTGTTGATTAAAATTTGGTCAGGAGCTTATGAATTACATACTCCATTGTGTTGAAGTAAAACAAATTTCATACTACAAAGCCTTTTGAAAATATACTTGATTTGTACTTTGATGCTTATGCCATAAATGTAAGTGTAATATGTGCTTTAAGTACAAGCATTATGCAAATACCTGCACATACATTTTTTTTCCATTTACCTTAGTCTTTGTTAAAAATTCAGAGACAGATTTTCTTTCAAACTCTGAATTACTTATGACAAAGTCTGAGATAAAGAACTCCTCTGCTTGTTAAAGTTACTTATTGTTTCCATCTGCATCTGCAGATTCTTAGATTTCCATCTACATTAAGAAGCACAAATGTTTTGCTTGTACTGGATACAGGCCCACATTAGATAAGGTCAGGAGTTTTGACTTGGCTCTTCCTGAAAGTGAGATTTTAAACTTTCTGTGTGTGTATTTAGAATTCTAATCAGTAGTTTTGGGAAAAGCAATGTTACCATAAGAACATATCAAATGTATGTAAGTATTTAATTATAAGCAACTCATAATCTGTTCCAAGTAGTTTTTTGCTACTCAAAAGCTTTTGATTATGCCAAATAAAGGTCATACTACTGTGTGTTCAGTGTTTTTAGTGAAGGTGGTATTAATTATTTCCTAGTTAAAACATTCTTGCCCAGATACTCTGAAATAGCTTCTGAAAAGTTAATTTTTGGCTCATGTCTCATGTCAAATTTCTGGCATCTTTCCATAGTACTATCAGAAGGAGTTCACATCCTTTTTTGACTTTTATTATTCAAAAGGAAAGACAAAAAGGAAATTGATCTAATGGTATATGTGAACACCCTGAATCACGAAGAAATAGGAAAATAATAACAGTATTAAGAACAATTATATTATAACAATTATAATCTCTAAAGTATTAGGACATACCGTTTTAAAAATCTCATTGTTGAGGAGTTTGATGATCTCATGCTATCAGTTTGTTTTAAGCCTTTAATATATCTAGGGCAGGGTTGTTGGACTTTGCAATAGTATTGAATTTGCTTGGTTCTCAAATACTGTGGGTTTACCATCTGAGTCAACATTAATTCACTAACTCGATGAACAGCAGAGTCCTACCTCGAACTCTTTCCTGTGTTTTTGGACCTTATGGGACATTGATCATTGTATTTATTTTGATACCTTGTGGTCCTACTAAATTAGATCTTCTGAGCTGTTCTGTCTGTTATGACAGTCTCCATAAACAATGATCAATGACATCCAAGCTTATTATGAAACAAGGGGATAAGGATGATGAATTGGACAAAACTCCAATCTTGCTCCTCAGCTGCTTTCCATGTTCATGCAAGCCTTCTTTTCTATG